AAGTGAATAATGGTTTCTGTATAATCTCCTTGTCTATAAAAGTTTTTGTTTATACTATCACATATAATAAAATCCAATAAGATACAATATGTTAAGACCTATGGAGACAGAAGAACAAAAGCTTGATGGGGCTTCAAAACAAGATGATACTAAATCAGCATTACCTATTATGACATCGTTTTCTCCAAAATAGCTAATCCTATCATCCAATCTTTTCTGCCTCATTTCTGTTGAGCTCTTTTTCTGTCATTAGTTGTCAGTTTGTCATTCTTCATTTCTCTTTCTGCTCCATTCATTGTGGCTGCTCTGCCACTGTTTCTGGAATCTTGGTATTTTTCATTTTTAGAATATCCTGCAGTAATCTCTGTAGAGTTGAATTGGTGGTTGCAAATTCCCCTAGTTCCTCTTTATCCTGGAAGCACCTTGTTTTTCCATCAATTTCTAGGGACAGTTGTGCAGGATATATCAATCTTGGCTGGAGGTTATTGTCTTTCAAAGCTTGAATTATTTCCCCCCACACTCTTCGTGATTTGATGTTTGTGCTGAGAAGTCTGCTGTAATTCTGATGGGTGTTCCCTTGTAAGTGATCTGTTTCTTGTCTTTGACGGCTTTTAATATTCTGTTCTTATATTGGATTTCTGGAATTTTGATTATTATTTGCCTGGGTGTAGCTCTGTTTGGGTTGTAGGTGGCTGGTGTCCTGTATGCCTCATACATCTCAGTATCTTTACCTTTTGCTAAATTAGGGAAATTCTCCTGGATTATTTCTATGAATAGCTTTTGTAGTTCATTTGTTTGAGTCTCTACTTCTTCTTTTATGTTCTTAATTCTTGAGTTATAGATCCTCTTATCATCTTCTAGTCTTTGTATTATTGCTGTTTGTTTTCTTGTTATTTTTAAGAAGTTTTTCATTTCATGCTCCCACCTTATAAATTTGTCCTCCAGTTCTGATAGTCTATCCTTAGTTTCTTTCAAACTGTTATGCCAGCTTTCAGTAGAGTTTTTTAGTTTCCTGGTAATCTCTTTGAACCTGTTTCACGTATTCTATGTTTTCTCTATTTTCTCCATCAAACAATTCTCCCCTTTTTTTCTGTTCTTCCATTCCACCATCTGTTTTTTCTTGGGTGGTGCTTAGCATTTCTCTAACTATTCTACTTATTTCTTGCTTTATTTCATTAAGTACTTCATTTTTGAACTCGTCTATGAGGCTCCGGAAGTACCGTTTTATGTCTGTAGGTGCCGTGTTTGATATTGCATGTTTTCTGTCTTCATTCTCTTTTGCATTTACCTTTCCTGCATCAGTGGTCTCAGGATTGGGGACTGAGGACCCTTTCTTGTTGCTCCCTTTTCACATACTTTTTATTCCTTCCTTACAAGTGTATGTAGGAGGCCCAGTTTTTTTTTTTTTTTTTCTTTGTCTGTTACAGTTTGTTTGAATCCACTGGCTAGGTGTTCCCGCCCACTGCAGTGTACTAGGGAGACACAGACCTGGGCAGCCTATGGTGGGCCCGCCCCTCGAAGTTAACCTACTGAATTCTTCACTTCTAGGGTGTACCGCCAAGCACAGGGACCTGTTTTGGGCTAGCCTACTGGATCTTAGTCCGCTGCATCACCAGGCCAAGGGCTCCCCACCACTCCCGCTTGAGAGGGGAATATGTGACTAAAGTCACTGCAGGGCCCTGTTCTGGCTAGTCTGCTCCTTCCCAGAATGTCCTCTGTTGGAGCCTCCTAGTCTATGAAAGGGTCCCCATTTCTCTCACTCACAGCCGGTCGATGCAGGGTTCCCTGCCAGTCCCTCTCGCAATGCCATTTGGTTCGCCGATTCCAGCTCTCAGAGCTTTCGCATGTCTCTCTCCCTGCTGTGCCGATTGGGACACAGTATAGGCAGCAGAAAATTCAAATCGCGGCTTGCGGGATCCAGCTTCCGCACTGAGATTTTATCTGTTCCTGTTATAGCATCAGGATTGCATTTCCAGTTGGTTTCTCTCAGCTTAGTTCATTCCTGGGTCGGCAGAGTACCTCTCCCCTCACGTAGGACTCCTCACATGGCACTGCTCCTGGATTCTAAACTGGTAATCTCAGAGAGCCTCTGTGGCTGCTGTTATTTGTCCGCCATGTTCTCCCGGAAATAGATTTGTCAATTTTACTTACATTTCATCTCCTAGTGTCACTGATCTTTTGTTTTTCTTGCTCCATTTTATTTCTAATCTGAGTTTTATTTTTTTCTTTCTTTTACTGACTTAGGGTTTAGTTTGTTCTCCATTTTTTAGTTCTTAAAATGTAATCTGAGTGTGTATATTTAAGATCTTTTTCTTTTTGATGGATCCATTTGTTTCTCTAAGCTCCCCTCTTAGAACTGGTTTATTTTATCCCACAAGTTTTGGGATAATTTCAAGTTATTTTTAGGTCTCTTATTTATTTTTCGTCTTTGACCTGTTAATTTCTAACATTTTTAAAATTTCTAAATTTCCTCCTTTATTTACAGTTTTGTAACATTGTGGTCAGAAAGATACTTGGTTTGAATTTAGTCTTGTTAAGTTTGTTAAAATTTGTTTTGTGACCTAAGGTGTAACCTAGCTTATGGAATGTTTCTTATCAGTTTGAAAAGAACAAATCAGCTGCTAATGGATGGAATGATCCGTTTTTGCCTATCATGTTCATTTGTTCTGAAGAGTAGTATCTGTCTGAATCATCTCTTCATTGTTGAAAATGGGGTATTAAATTTTGTTCTCATTGTATTCTAATCTTTCTGTCCTTTCTAATAAACTATCTGTTTTATGTATTTAGCTTCTCTAATGTTAGACCTACCTTAGTTGTTTTAATTTGATCCCTTTATCATTATATAGTAATTTTGTCTTATTTTACAATGTTTGACGTAAAGTCTGTTTTGTCTGATTTAAATTTAGCTATTCATGGCTTTCTTTTGATTTTTATTTGCAGGGAACATCTTTTTACCTTCATTTACTCTCCATGCACATATGTCCTTAAAGGTGAAATGAATCTGTCATGGAAAACATATAATTAGGTCTTGTTTTAAATCCATTCAGCCTGTCTGTGTCTTTGGTGGCAGTGTTTAATTCATCTACCTTCAATAATTAAATAATCTCATTTAAAAATTTTTTCACTTTTAAAGAAAGATCTTTTTTTCTTCCTTCCTTCATATTTGTTATTTTCAATAGTGATGCTTTGATTCTTTGTGTGTGTGTATCACTGATTTTTTGACTTGTGGTATCATGGAACTTTGCTTTGTGGCTACTGTGAAGCTTTCCTAAGATACAGTTATATAAAACTATTTTAGCTGATATCAACTGAATTTTGGTCACATAAAAGAGCTACACTGAACTCTGAATTTCGTTTTATGTTTTTGATGTCACAATTTATGTCTTTTTATATTATATAGTAAGCATTAATAAATTAGTGTAGCTATTCTTATTGTCAATTGTATTGTCTTTTAATCCTTCATACTAAAGATGCATGATTTATATACCATCATTACATTAGAATATTTTAACTATGTATTTTTACCAGTGAGGGTTTTACTTTTATATTTCCATATCTCATTGCTTTTTTGATAGAATATAGTTAGATTTTTCTCTGTCCCCATCTCACAGAAGCTTACTTTTCATTGGTATATTTAGGCAAACTACATTTAATGTAATTGTCAATATGCTTGAGTTTAACCCTGCCTTTTTGAATTTTACCCTGTAATTGTTTCATCCAGTGTTTATCTCCTAAACTGAGTTTGTATTGTTTGAATATTTTAAACAATATCATTTTATGTTAACATCTTTAGTTGTTGATATGTTTAAATGTAGGTCTCGTATTTCATCATTCATTTTATCTGTATCCTATCATTTCTTACCAACATATCAACATTTTTTATAGAAATACCATAAAGCCTTATTATTTTTGCCTTTAGTCATAAAATATATTTTAAAAATAGAATATATTTTAAAGAATAGAATAATAAATATTCCATTTACTCAGGCATTACAGTAACATATCTGTTATTTTCTTTCAAATATCCCCTTTAAAGCATACATACTTGTCTTATACCATAGCCCCTTTCCTGCCCTAAACTCTGAAAACCTGCACTCCACTTCTAAATTTTGTCATTTCATGAATGTTTTATAAATGGACTGTTTACATGTAAGGTAGTTTTGATATGATTATGGTATTTTCTGATTTTTTATTTGTTTTCTATTTGCTTACATTTCTCATGCTTTTGTTTTCTTTAATTGCTTGCTTTTTGGGGGTTATGTGGATAATTTTTAGGATTCTGTCTTGATGTACTTGAAGTGTTTTTGAGAGTATATCATTATATATTTTTCCTATTAGTTCCTGTGGGTATTTTATCACCTCAAATAAATGTGAAAACTTTGGTTTCATTTATATTTCCTTGCCTTCCTTACTTTTACATTTCATTGTCTGAAATATCATTTGGCATTATCATTTTTGTTTCCATCATCAAGATTTCCTTTTAATTATTGATGAATATTTTCAATAAAGGTAAATTTCATGCTTTACAGTTTTCTTTTTACCAGTATTTGAAAAATATGCTACTGTTTTTTCATCTCTATGCTTTCAGATGAGAAAATCATTCATGTCAATAATATTTTTATCTTTGTAATTTCGGTGGCTAATTCAAATTCTGTCACATAGTAGCTCTCATAGAATTGTTAAATATTTTACCTGGAGTTATTTTTGAATATAAAAGTATATATAAAATAATGTTTCCCTATGTATCTTGCACCTACAAAAAATTAGATTTTTGGTATTTTAGAGTATAATTTCTTTTATGGAAGGACCCAGTATTACTCAGTTTCAACCACAGCACCTGGAACGTTTTAAATAAATATTTTCTGATTAATAACTGTTAAATATGCTATATTTACTCTTAAAATATGTCACTATAACTGATTTATTGTAATTTTGGTGATTTACTGTTCATTATTTAAAATTCTACCTAAAATTCATGATATACCTTCTCTCTATTACAGCATCAAACACTTGGCTTGTTCCAGAAACTAAAGGAGCTATTGTGCAAGGTGGATATGGCCACACAAGTGTATATGATGAAATAACGAAGTCCATTTATGTTCATGGAGGCTATAAAGCATTGCCAGGCAATAAATATGGATTGGTAGATGATCTTTATAAGTATGAAGTTAACACAAAGACTTGGTAAGTAAACTGATTAAAAGTATAAGGAGAAAACTGGATAAAGATGTATTTTGTGTTCTGCAGTAATCATTTTTACTAAATATATTCATAGAAAAATTCTTGGACTTTTTCTTGCTTTATTTTAACTAATGATATGCTATCATGTAACATGACATACATTATTCTATTTATTCATCATTAAAATAAATTACTTTTATACTAGCTGATATAGGCCATTGTTGATCACCTAGTAATCCCCCCCTTTATTTATTTATTTATTTATTTATTTATTTATTTATTTTCATTTTATGCTATGTCCATCCTCCTGTTCTAAATGACTCTATTTTGCTTTGTCACATTGGGTTTTTCTTTGGTCCGTCTTGTTTTGTTTTTTGTTTTTTGGCCTTTTTTTCAATCTTTTTTCTTTTCCTCTTCAAAGAAAAAGTTAAAAAAAACTGTGGAAGTAATGGAAACTAAAATGCGCGATTGTTAGTGTAAAAAACAGGAAGGAAAGTGATCTCAAGGATATAACTGCAAGTTTATTTAAATGTGTAGGAAAGAGAACCATATTGCTGAGTTTTTCTTGGATCATTGAACAGAACTGACTGCAATTTCACTGTATTAATCTCTACTTTGTATGCTTTAATTTTGTAATCTGGACAGCTGGTTGTAAGTTGACAATGTGTGATATATTAGCTGGTGAACTCTTACTGTATGTTTTTTCTCTTGAAATTCTGTGTTGCTTCTAGCCTTTTACTGTCTTGCTTCATTTAGTTTTGTTTTTCTCTTTAAATAAATAAATAAATAAATAAATAAATTACTTAACTTTAAAATGGTTTTTTATCCCATAGAAATTCTTATTCTTTGTATATTATTTACACTACTAAGTGCTGATAGAATGTTCATTTTGATGGACAATTTTTTAACTAGTAAAACTTTGAGGTTTTATATTATCTATGCTAGATTCGTCCTTATTTACACTAATTTATTTGATATTTATAAATGCAAAAGTAATTTCTTCAGTTTCATCATTTAATTTCCTATGAAATACAAAGTTTTTCATATTTAGGTCAGTTTTTTTTTCTGTTATTGTAAATGGTGCTACATGGCACTGGTCATTTCATGCATATGTGTGGTAATCCTCTAGGGCATATACTTACAAGGGAGACTGGGATGTCCGAATTGCTTTTCAGGTCACTATGATAATTTCTACAGCAGGATATGAATATCTTTATGTCATCAGATTGTTATTAATACATGGTAATTATGAGGATTTTTACTATTGCCAACATGATAGATGGGAATGATATTTTACTAAAATTTTAATATACATTTCACAAGTTATTGTAGATAAGCATATTTTTTTATGGGTGCATCTTCCATTATTTCACTTAGCGAGTTAACTATGTGCATTCATTATGTTCTCTTCATGTTTTAAATATTAATCAGTCTTTCATCTGTTGATTTTTCTGGATATGTATAATTATTAGAATAGAATTCTTCTTGTACTCACCTTTGTAAAATCTGAGAAATGGCTGTTTTACTGATTTACCTTGATGAAGTCTGAGAAATGGGGTTTATTTATTTTTTGCTTTAAGATACTACCCATTCTTTTAAACTTAACATGAAGTTACTTTATGTGTTTAAAGAAGAGCAGTATTCAACTAAATTGTGGATTTGCTCTATCCCCAATCACTTTCAAACATATTTCTACATTATGTAGTGGGGGGGATGATACAGTTATAAGACTTACTTTTTTGTGTGACAAAAATGAAGGAGAAGTTTTTCAAACATGACAAATGATTTCAAACCACACTGAAGAAGTGCCAGGAGCACCAAGGGCAATAAGTAGAAAGAAGCTTATGCTTATAGCCATTATGATAAAATTGCTGAAAACATGAAGAGAAACATGTACAGGCAGTTGGAGGCGGGGGGGGGGGAGAGGCATGTTTTTCTTAGATAACTGAAAAAATGGACTTTAGAAGGTGTTTTCAAATGTTTGAAAAAAAATAATCACTAGCCTAAAATTCTACATCAAATGAAATACCCATTAAAAAGTGAAACAAAGACATTTTCAGTCAAAAATGAACTGAAGAGAATTTGATCTCTGCAGGTATGCAATAAAGGAAATACTAAATGAAACAAATATTATTAAGGTAGAAGAAAAATAATTCCTGATACTGAATGGAATGTACAGAAATGAGAGAATAAATCCAATAGATTATCACATAAAAGATAATACAAATAGAAGTTTGATTATACATATCATTTAAAAACATGAATATAATGGTATATAAGTCAGAGAGATGGATTAGTTCTAAAATACTAATGTCCTTGTATTATTTTCAAATTGATAGTGACTTATGTTGTAATCATTATACAGCAACTAAATATTATATATCTAACAAGATAATAGGTGGAATAATGAAAATAATAAATGGTATCTAACAGATTTACAAAAAGAATAGAAAAAGAAAAGTATGAAAACAGGTATAACAGGAATAGTAAAATGGTGTATAATTCCAAATAGATCAATAATTATATTAAGTGTAAAGAAGTATTCCAGTTTTATGAAATGTAAGAAAACAAGTATTTAAAGGCCATGCATATTTGATAATATGATAATAAATCCAACCATATATTTCTTTGAAAGGTTTACCTTAAATAAAATTATTGATTCAAATTGAAAGTACAGGATAAAAGAAAAATATATTATGCAATCACTAAGCTGAAGAAAGTTGTTATAACTGAGTATTAGACAAATAACAGTTTAAGCCAAGTGTCTCCCTGAACAGTATATGTAACAGCTCTGAATTTTATGGCACTGTGTTAAAATTAGTAAAGTAGAACTAACAGAATTAATAGGACAAATCATAGTAGAATATTTTGAATCTAGTTCTCTTGATTATTAATAGTATCAGAAGATCAAAAAACAGTAAGGATATAAAAGATTTTAAAAATTAGCAGTTTTTTATTTGAAATAAGAGCTTAAAACCTTGCAGTTTATAGCATTGTTTCCAAACACATGTGGAACTTTTCTAAAATGCACCATATGCTAGTTTTAATTCAAGTCTTAACAAATTTAAAATTGAAAGCCTGCAAAGTAACTGATAAAACAAAAAGTCACAAAAAAGTAACTTTTTGGTGATTACAGTGACCAACACAAATGACCAACACATCAAAATGTGTATGATTTAGATAGAGGAACTGAGGGACAAGAACCCTGAATATATCTATTAGAAATACTTTTAGAAGCTTGAAAATCAGTAATCTAATCTTTTTTTTTCTTTATTAGTAAATGTTTGCAGTACATAATGATTATATTCATGGTGGGGAGTTGGTACATGTATATGACACATTTTAATTCTTTTTTTCATCCCTTTTCCTTCCCTCTCTTCCCATCTCTTTATCCCCATCTCCTTTGGAAAAGGTCTGTCTCCGTTTCCTCTTAGCTTTTATCTTGCTCTTTATTTTAATTATATTTTGAGATTATCAGATAAAACAAATCATGTGATATTTAAGCTGTGTGTTATTTATTTCATTTGATATTGTATTCTTAAGGTACATTAATCTTCCTACAGACGACTTGGTTATCCTTCTTGGCGTCAAAGCAATACTCCCATTGTGTATAAATAAATGTATTTTCTTTATGTATTCTTCAGTTGATGAACATACAGAGTGCTTCTAAGATTTAACTATTAGGACTTATTTTCCTACAAATAAGGGTATGGGTGTTTTGCTGTAATATGATATCTTTAGCTTTTTGGGGAAGATACCTGGAAGTAGAATAGCTGGGTCAAATGAAATTTTTAGTTTTATTTTTTTGACGAGTCTCCATGCTGATTTCCGTAATTTTTATACTAGTTTACATTCCTGCCAACAATGTAAAAGAGTTCCTTTTCCCCTTCTAGAACAGCAGTGTAATTCCAAAGAAAGGGGAAAGCAGATAAATACATGAAAACAAAGATATATGAGAAAAGAACCCAAATTTATGAAATAGAATGCTAACATATGGTAGCACTCATGCATAAAAATCAAAAATCACCAAAAATGATAGCATGTAGAGAATAAGAAAATAGAGACAAAAAATACTACCTAAAGAACCCCTGTCAAGATGGAAAAAAATAACATCACTACAGATTATACAGACATAAGTTAATAAGCATAAATTATAAGCAACTAAGACAATATATTTACATATATTATATGAATTGTTGCAAATTTCTAGAAAAACAAAACTGCAGATATGACACATGGAAAACTAGGAGATTGAAATGATCTTGTATCAGTGAAATAGAATCTGTAATCAAAATTCTTTTGCCTCAACAAATAAATAAACATACACAAACAAATAAAAACAAAACAAAATGAAAAGCTCTTCAAACCCAGATAACATCATGGGTAAATATTTCTGATTAATTTCAAAACATTAAAAGAGAAAGATAAAGTCCATGCAATCATTTCGAAAGGGTCAGTAAAATGTTTGGAAAAAATTCAACATTTTCATGATAAAAAGTTATTGTGAATTAGAAAAGAAGCAAATTATTTACATGGTAAAAGACATAGAAGAGCAGACATAAACGAGCAGAAAAACTTCACTGCAATGATTACAGTGAAATGTTGAATGGTTTCTTTTTTAAGTTTGAGAATAATGTATCAATAATTTTACTCAACATTGTTTTGGAATTTCCAGCCAATGCAAAAGGTATTTAATAAAATATGATAAGATATAGTTGTATGTGGGTAATAAGCTGCTACGTAAAAGATCAATATAAAAATCTATCAATTGTAATTGTATATACCTTGAACAATGTAAAAAGATATTTTAAAAGCAATATAACTTACATTGGCATCAGAACATCAACAACCTAAAGAGTAAATCTGATGATATATATAAAGGATATTTACAAAGAAAATTGTAAGCTCTTATTTTGAGAAATTGATAAAGACCTCAATAAAGCACGAATTATGATAACTGCATGAAAAGCTCAATACTGGAGAGAGATCTTTTCTATCCAATT